TAAACACCCAGCGACAACCAACTATAGACTTCTCTGGAGGAGCAGAAACAAGGTCCCAAGTGCCATTCGAATGAAGTGCAGTCATCTCATCAAGCATCGCTTGGCGCCACCTTGGATGGGAAAGTGCTTCACCTGTGGTCTTAGGAATAGAAACAGAAGAAAGACTAGAAACAAAGGTGAAATGAGGTGAAGAAAGACGGTCATAACTTAAAAAGGTATAAAGAGGATAAGGGTTACGAGTAGTACGTGTACCTTTTCTTTGAGCAATGGGAAGAGCCTCTGGTGGAGGATCCTGAGGGGAAGAATCAACAGCAGTGGGCGATGAGTCAGCAAGAGTCGAGTCGATAGGAGGCACAGTTTTGCGACGCTGATAGGTGAGAAGTGGACGGTCCTCAGGTATAGAAGCAATAGGTTGCTCATCTAGAATAGAAGCACCTGCAGCTGGCAAAGACAAGTCAAGAAAAGGGACAGGAAGAACATGATCAACCTGTGACAACTGAGATGGGATAGAATTAAAGGGTTGTTGATCAAGAAAAGTGACATCAGCGGAAACTAAGTAACACTTAAGATCGGGAGAATAACAACGATAACCCTTTTGAAGACGAGAATAACCAAGAAAAATACATTTAAAGGCTTTGGATGTTAACTTGTCCTTACCAGGGGTGAGATCATGAACAAAACAGGTACAACCAAAGATATGTGGGGATAGAGGATAGAGAGGAACATCTGGAAGCAATAAGTTATAAGGAATATCATTATTAAGCACATATAAAGGCATACGGTTGATGAGAAACAAAAGACAAGGACTGCATCGGCCCAGATTTTTCCTTATAAAGCACAAATCCAGGTTGTTGGTGAAAACCCTTTGCAACAAGCCTTGCTTCATACTCGTTGATGGACCCATCAGGATTTTCTTTGAGTTTAAATGCCCATTTACAGCCTATAGCAGACCTGTTAGGAGGTAGAGGAACAAGATGCCAAGTATGGTTAGCCAATAAAGCATTGTATTCAAGATGTATAGCCTGAAACCAAGGGGGACTGGACGGGGCCTATTTGACTGAAGAAGGTTCAATGTGAGTGACCACTAAAGCTTGGGATCTACCCAGAGTTTTAGATCTGGTTTGAATTGGAATGATCAGGTGAGTTGAGATGAGAGGGAAGTGAAGGTAAAAATTCAGAAGAAGATGATGAGGCTGTAGGAGAAACCTCCAAGAGTGATTGAGTAGGAGAGTCTTAGACAGGAGATGAAGGTGCAGGATCAGAGGAAGACGTTGAGGCAGAGACTGGTGTGATGGAGTTGGAATGGATAGGAGTGTGTTGTGAGGTGTCTAAAGGGCTGGTAATTGTACCCGAGATAGGAGAAGACTGCACAAGAGAAGAGGAACGTGCCTGACTAGTATTGGGGATAGCAATTGATGACCAGTGGGATTGTAACACATCTTGATCCAAGAGAGGAATGGTGTGAGGAAGATCTGAGACTGAAACAGTAGGGTTAGAAGACCATGACTTAGCATAAGGAAACAAGTATTCATTGAAAATAACATCTTTTGAAACAAAGGTTCTCCCAGCTTTATTTTGACAAATGTAACACTTATTTATGACTAAAGGAATATCCGAGAAACACACAGTCTTGGGATCGAAATTCAAGTTTGTGTTGGTTGTAAAGTCTTAAGAATGGAAAGCAGACACAACCAAACACCTTAAGAAACTTGTAATCTGGTTCAGCATGGTACAGTATAAGATAGGATGCTGAACAAAAGGCATAATCCCAGAATTTCAGAGGGAGAGATGCATGGGAAAGGAGAGTCAATCCAGTCTCAACAATATGCCTATGTTTCCTTTCCACAACACCATTTTGATGGTGTGTATGAGGACAGGTTACCCCGTGTAAAATACCATGAAGGTTTAAGTATTGGGTAAAAGATCGAAATTCGTCACCCCAATTTGTTTGGATTGCTTTAATTGTAGTTTGAAATTGTTTAGTGACCATGGAATGGAACTGTTTAAAGATGGTAATAGCATCATACTTTTGATGAGTAGGATACAGCCAAATGTACTTTGAATTAGCATCCACAAATGAAATATAGTAGGAATTTCACAAGGTAGATTTAATTGGGGCTAGTCCCCAAAGATCACTATAAACTTAACTCAAAAGGTGAGTGATAAACAATTTGAGAGGAAGGGGAGTGAAGTCTACGAGCTTTTCCCATACAACAAGAACAAAAAATCCATCTCATTTTTATTATCAAAGGAGATTTTACATGCATTGAGAACATTCTTTAAGGCTGCAAAGTGAGGATGGCCTAAGCGACAATGCCATAAAGAATACGCAGTATTCGAAACAGTGCTAGACTAATTACAATTATGAGTGCTAGGCTGATTACAAGTATGGGTGCTAGGCTGATTACAAGTATGAGATTGTTGATTACAAGTATGGGTGCTAGGCTGATTACAAGTATCAGTACTAGATGATTACAAATCTGAGCTTGTGGATTATTACAACTAGAAAGCAACGAAACAAAAAAAGAAGTCTTGACAAGTGACGATGCTTGAGGAAGACAAATACTTGGAAAGAGTACAATCCATCCTTGTTCACAGTTCCTTCTGGGGGATTTCATGGGATGATTTGACAAAAATTAGAGGCATGAAACTCAAAGTAAACATTGTTGTCTTTAGCAAATTGTCTAACACTTAGTAAGTTCTTTACTATTGAAGGCACAAGCAACATGTTTTTGAGTCTCAATTTAGTTTGACAATTAAGTGGAGACATAAATTGTGAAGAACCAATAGCAAGAATTGGCAAACCTTGTCCATTACCAATAACAATATGATCCGTACCAAAGTTGACTCTGGAGTAAATTGGCTAGATTGGCAGTAACATGGTGACTAGCACCTGAATCTGGAAACCATTCGATAGTAAGTGCTGTCATTGGAAGGGGTAGCAATCCAGGTTGAGCTGCGAACATAGCTTGAGGAGTCTGATTTTCTTGTGGGCGTATGTACTGATAGGAGTTCTGTTGTCGTGAGGCAAAGTACTGCAATTCGTTAGAAGTAGGAGGCGGAATATTAGGATATTAGGTACAAAGTTCTCATCGAACCTGTACCAACAAGAACAAACATCATGTCCGTACTTGTAGCAGAGCTGGCAGTGCATGTTGGAACGAGGACCACGTCCTCTTCCTCTGTTATTGCGACCTCCATACCTTCCTCGTCCTCTGTTTCCAGCATTGGAAAAGCCAGAACCATGAACCTCTTGTGTCTGGTTCATGCTCTGTTTTTCGTTTAGTAAAACAAAGATGAACAAAGGATTTTTCTCATATAGATTATGAGTTGTAGCAACATTTGCAGAGGCTAGGTTACTTAACAAATTCTCATTCTGCTTCAACAACAACTTTTCGAAAGCCATCAAATCAGTAGCGATGTCATCAACACCATATGCTTTTTCACGTCCATGAACGCTAAGAACAAATGTGTTGTAGTCTGATGGTAATCCTACGAGTATGTACTCGATCTGATCCTCTATTCGATACTGGATTACTAATCCTCTTTAATGGCCCTTTGGGTTTAAAGCATGAATATTCCACAGGGCAATTTTTTTTTTTAGTTTTACCTTGTGCTTATTTAATTCCACTTGAAAGTGGGGGCGGTGAGGATCGAACTCGTGACCTTACGGTCACTGAAGCTCTGATACCATATTAGATTTTGAGAGAGAATCAGAGAGAAAGCCATGAAGTTTACTGAGTAATTGAATGAATGATCTGATACAAAGGAGAACTCTATTTATGGAGTTAAAGGAAAGGACTCAAGGCTAAGTCAGCACTAACTAATCACTAATATAAAACACAGAATATTTGGAAAGTATTACATACAAACAGACATATAGTAACTAAGATAAGCCTGAATACATAGCTGAAACAAAGCTAAGCTATTCACTAATAGTGGCACATAAAATGAACAGGGAATCATTTCAATTCGGGCAACGGAACTTATATTTACAGGTATCGAAATCAACGTATGCAAAAGTGCACGACTGGAAGAGCCTCCAAAGGAGGTGATAGACAGCCAGACAAGAGATAAAAGTAAAAAGAACAAGCAAATAAAGGACATAAAAGAAGATATAATGACTAGAACATTCTCCAAATAAAGTTAAATCTATAAGCAAACCACGGTAACCAGAACCGAATATGAATGGTCTTTAAATCCTAGAAATAAAGTAAAATCTATCACCCAAAACCCTAAAGATAGAGAAGCTTCACATGCTTCCAAGTAGAACTTAAGCTAGTAGAAAACAGCTTTATATCTTTTATGATGAAAATCAGCATCTTCGAGAACTAGTGTGAAACTACAACCATCAAAATGTTGTTAATTGGTCCTACAAAATCTTTATCGCCATTAACGTTAGTTCTAAGCACAGACACGAGAGAAAAACAATCCACATGAACTAAACAACAATTACAATCATTTGCAAGACGCTACATTAACTATTCAAAAAATCTAGTACTCCAAAACATCACTTTATAATTAAGTACTACGATCAAACATAACAAGAAAAGACAAAAGAGGAAAACAACCATATAGTGGCCTAAACATACAATAAAAAAGGTCCGCCCGGTGCTATAAAAAACTCTCGCTATACACAGAGTCTAGGGAAAGGTTAGGGCCATTGTGCAGGCCTATAGACAGCCATATCATGCATCACCATACCATGCATTTGCAAGAGGCTAATTATAATCAAACCTGTGACCTCCCGGTCACATGGCCTCATCATACAATAGCTTTGGGGAAAAAAGAAAAAAAAAGTAAAGGAGCAAGAAAAACTCTCAGAGAAAGTTCTAGCATGCAAAAAGCAACCAGAGAGAGGATAACGCTGCCATTATTGACTAACAAGTCAACAATAAAGATTTTGCAGACAAATACAGTGAAGTTAAGAAGTATAAAGGTCAAATTTAAATATTCCCATACAAACCTCACAACATCTATTAGAGATATCTTTTTCTAACCTGTAATGTCCTACAAGGTATCTGAGTTTTTCCACAGTGATGATCTGAATATAATGACATCTCCTTATCCAATGAGTTGTGAAACAGGCAAGCCTCTCGTTGCAAGATAAGAGCTTGTTCAACAAGATGTTCCAATCTCTTTTCAGGTATCATTACTGATGGGGGAAGCAGTTTCTGCAATTCCTCCAGTAGTTTCGACCGTGATCTCACCCCTACAATATCTTGCCTAGAAGTACCAACTTGGCCACACTGAGACACTATGCGGGAAGAAAGTTCACGAATTCTACCACTATTAAAGCAAAGTGGCGCAATTTCAGTCCTCAATGTCTTCAATGCATCCATGACCTTTTCCCCATCAAGAAGTTCAAAATACTTCTGTTCCAATATTAAAAACGAGGCTTCCCTGACAATCCTTTCATCTGCTAGACCAATTTTATTTAATGTGGCTATGCTTTGGTCCCAATCGCCATCTAGTATTTGCTGCATAAACAGATTTACAACAGATGAGTGCAAATGTATGCCAGACTCCTCCTCAAGGTATGCCCCACTCTTTTTGTAACCGAGAGAATACAATGCCCTAGCAATTATCCTAACAAATTCCTCTCTTTTTATAACCCCTTTCGAACCAACAATTTCATCGTCCCCTTCGGATGACAGGGGCCGAGCCATCAAATTACTTGAAGAGCCTCCAATTGGCTCCACAGTAGATGAACCGTTAGAGAGACCAACTAATCCTTTAGAGGATAATTTCATGCGTTTTAAAGCTGGTTCTTCATCCTCCACACCTCCCATGAAAAGTGCACCTCAGCCCATATATAATAATTTACCAGCAATGAGGAAAAAAACAGCACTGCAAGAGTATAACAACCAACAAAAGATGCCTCTGAAAAATCGCACGGAACAAATTTCTGCACAGAAAAAACACCACAGAAACAGCAACAATAAATAAGATTTTACCACAAAAATTCCTCGCAAGAACCAGAAAATCAAAACCGCAAAAGCAAAATCCTCAAATTGAACACACGAACGAGCAGAGTCTATAACAAACGCAAGAACACAAGCTGTGTATTTCGCTTCAAAACAAAATACTTAAATGAAATTTTCATGCCTAAAACACGAGAACGATGCTGAACTGAGAACACAAACACCAAAAACAATACTGAACTCATAAATTGGGAAGAGAAAAATCCACTTTCCTATAAAACAAACAAGAATCGGAACATTTAACCGAAAGAGGACGCGATACAACAATCAACATCGGAAATCGCAGATCCAAGAACTGCAGAAGCAGAAGAAGATGGCGGTGATGATCCACCGACTTACCGGAGAAGCAAGATGAGCGATCGTTGGTAGAGCACCGACGATTCCTTCTTCTTCTTTGTTTTCTTCTTTTCCTCTTTTTCTTGTGCTTCACAGAGTTTTCACTTTCTTTCTCCCTGCAGTTAATGAAGCAGAAGAAACGGATTGGGTGTTGATATGTGTGTTTATTTATATAGAGAAAATTTTCATCAATTATTGTGCTGGATTTCTCTTTTTCTATTTTCTTCTTATCTTTCTTCGTATTCTCAAATATGTTAGAGCTTCTACTGTCATTGCTATCAACATGACCACCCCTTGCTATTCCTAAATTTCTCTCTCGTTTTTTTTTTTTTTTTAAATATTGATTTGGTTTTATGGTTTGGTATATTATACCTAGCTTCTTTCTAATTATACCAACTCAATTACATTTTTTTTTTTTTTTTGGTAAACATTTTTTTTTTTTTTGCTTTTCTTTACTACACAAGAAAATTACATTCTTTCCATGTGCATTTTGTAAACTTAAATCACTGAAAGCAACTTGAATCTTTAACTAAACCGAGACATATGCTGCCCCAAAAAATATATAAATATTGTAATTTTTTTTACTTATTAATTTAATTATGATAATTTATGTGTATTATCACTTTATAAAGGTTATATGTTAATCAAGTGGCTTCAACAAACTCAAGAGGAACGAATTGAGCTTATAAAAATTCTTAACAAAAAGAACCATTTTTCTTGTCAAGACTGATGTCCAATTATATTTAAGTCAAAGTAATAAGTACATATTTGGTAAAAAGACTACTCACAATTAAACTTAAGGTAAGGTATAATAATGAAAATTGACTTAATACGGTGTTAAATACTCACTCAAATAATGTCGAATTGATTTACTATGTGATGGATATTCAATAATTCAATTTAAAAGAACTCTTAAATTCAAATTGTTCTAAAACAAAAATATGCAATGCTTGTTTTGGATTTAAAACAATCAAAATCACTCATTGAAAACAAAATGATCAAGGTGATTCTTATATATGCAAGAAACCAACTTACATATCCAAACCTTTAATTAAATCAATTTCATTAAGAATAGTCCTTTATGACAACAATTACAAAATGCAAATTATGTGTTGGGAACTTAAAAGAGAAAGAGATAGTACAAACACAATTTATCCTAGGTTAGCCTGAAACCATCGTGAACTACATCCCATCCTTAGCCAACAAGTCAATATTTTCTTCCAATATTACTCATAGCCTATGAAGCACCGACTCCGACACGGCATTTTCGATACGTTCCAAATACGTTCTCGATACGACCATTAATTCGTCGATATGATACAATACGTTTCTGATACATTCCCGATACGCGTATCGGATACGTTGGAAAAAAAATTCGGAGTATCGGTGCTTCATAGCTCATAGCTTCTGTTGAGAAATATAGTCTCACATTGGTTGTATAAGCAACTAATGTGAGGTTTATAAGGCCTTGGGCACTCCCACCCTTTGAGCTAGCTTCTGGGGTGGTGTATCCCAAGGTTTTTAACATGGTATTAGAGTTTCGCCGCCCCCCACTTTCTCTTGTGGACTTTCTTAGCACAAGTAGGCTGGGCCTGTTGCATCTTCCACTCTTCAAGCCCAATGGGCTCTCGTGTGAGGGGGCGTGTTGAGATATATAGTCCCACATTGGTTGTATAAGCAACTAATGTGGAGTTTATAAGGCTTTGGGAACTCCCACCCTTTGAGCTAGCTTTTAGGGTGGTGTATCCCAAAGTTCTTAACATGGTATCATAATTGGACCCATCCAATTTATCCACACTCAACGGAGCAAGGATATAATTTGAGAAAATAGTAGACTCCAACTTTTGTCCCGCTGGAGTCCCAGAAACAGAAACATTGGAGACAGGAGTGTCCATAATCAAAGGAAAAAGGCAAAAAGAACAGGTCAAAAACTAACCGGTAGAAGCGGGATCTGTGCGTCAACACAAAAAGAGGTCCAAACACCAAAACAAGACCAGATCCAGAACCTACGCAAGGAGACGAGAAGATCGCAACCAGCCACGGCCGGAGAGGGGCCTCCACGCCAAAAGCTAGCTAAAAGGGTGGGAGTGCCCAAGGCCTTATAAACCTCACATTAGTTGCCCATACAACCAATGTGGGACTATATTTCTCAACATGCCCCCTCACACGAGAGCCCATTGGGCTTGAAGAGTGAAAGATGCAACAGACCCAGCCTACCTGTGCTAAGAAAGTCCACAAGAGAAAGTGGGGGGCGGCGAGGCTCTGATACCATATTAAGAACCTTTATAAGGCTTTGGGAACTCCCACCCTTTGAGCTAGCTTTTGGGGTGGTGTATCCCAAGGTTCTTAACATGGTATCAGAGCCTCGCCGCCCCCCACTTTCTCTTATGGCGTTTGTTAGCACAGGTAGGTTGGGCCTGTTGCATTGTCCACTCTTCAAGCCCCATGGGCTATTGTGTGAGGGGGCGTGTTGAGATATATAGTCCCACATTGGTTGTATGTGCAACTAATGTGGCCTTTATAAGGCCTTGGGCACTCCCACCCTTTGAGCTAGCTTTTGAGAAGGTGTATCCCAAGGTTCTTTACATGGTATCAGAGCCTCGCCGCCCCCCACTTTCTCTTGTGGACTTTCTTAGCACAGGTAGGCTGAGCTTGTTGCATCTTCCACTCTTCAAGCCCAATGGGCTCTCGTGTGAGGGGGCGCGTTGAGATATATAGTCCCATATTGGTTGTATGAGCAACTAATGTGGAGTTTATAAGGCTTTGGGAACTCCCACCCTTTGAGCTAGCTTTTGGGGTGGTGTATCCCAAGGTTCTTTACATGGTATCAGAGTCTCGCCGCCCCCCACTTTCTCTTGTGGACTTTCTTAGCACAGGTAGGCTGGGCCTGTTGCATCTTCCACTCTTCAAGCCCAATGGGCTCTCGTGTGAGGGGGCGTGTTGAGATATATAGTCCCACATTGGTTGTATGAGCAACTAATGTGGAGTTTATAAGGCTTTGGGAACTCCCACCCTTTGAGCTAGCTTTTGGGGTGGTGTATCCCAAGGTTCTTAACAGCTTCCAAGTCTTCTAGTCCTTTGGTTAACTGATGAATTACGTTTCAGCCCTATTTCTGGCATTCCAACTGCAGAATACTGCTACTTTACGTTCTTGTTTTTAAATAATATTATAAATATAAGTGTAAATACAATACATTTTAACTTTAGTAAATAAATAAGCATGAAGATGAAAAGGTGAGGAAAGAGAGAGAAAAAAGAAAAATATGAGCTATAATTTTGTTTTTGATTCCACTCATTCCTACATTTTGCTTTTTTGCAAGATACCACAAAAAGACACCCACTAAAAAGATAATCATGGCATCAAGGCATAAAAGGATAAAAGAATAATTCTGACATGTTCAGATTGGTTAGAAGAGAGAGCAAAGCAAAGACAGCTCAATCATTTTCAACATTTCAAGCTGTTCTGTCCGTGGGACAGAGATGTCTAGCCCAATAGGCTAGTACGTTAATATTGGATCTAGTGCCTTCTCCAAGGTATTTATAGAGGAGATACCCTTGAGTCTAGCAGATCACTGTGCACAGAATACTATAACGGCGTTAGCTAATGGGGTGTGTGTGCGCGCACAGTGACAACATAACAGTAAGAGAGAGCGTAGTACCTTTAGGGTTTACCTTTGTATTTATAGAGGTTACCTGTAGGTAGTGTGGATGGTCCTTTGGTTCCTACGGTGAGGGTCCAGGCTTGATAGCTATGCTGTCGCATTAGGGTTAGTATCCTTGATGGATATCTATCCTTTATTAGCATCAATCCATATCTTGGATTGCCCCTTGTTGGGCTTATTACTTAATGGGCCCATTATACGGGTCCATAACAATTGCCCCTCAGCCCGGCTACCTGGGTATCCGGGTAGTCGGGATGAACTTATGAGTGCATCTCTCCAGGTTTTTACCCCTGAATGTGTTTGTGTTTTTGTAGACTTGCATGCTCCGCTTATGAGGGAATTTTTTCCTCGCGGGATATCCTTTTCCCCTTATGTCGACGAGTTGAGCATCAACCCCGTGAGATATTTTGTGTACCCCACTGTTTGGGTCGGGTTGCCTCCTAATGTCGGTATACGTGTTGCTTTCGAGTTCTTGACCTTCGTTATGTGCAGCGCCATTTCCCTTGTATTGCCTTGCTGGTTGAGCATCAACCATATTGCTACTCCGAGTTAGGAATACGCTTGAGTTGTTTTAATCCCACTTGCGGGTTGCCCCTAAGCGGTATTCCTCATCTCGGACTGTATCTGCATATTTATTAGGCCGACGGTTGTGCATGATCCCGTCGACGTTTTCATGAAGAACCCGCGTCGGCATTTTACCCGGATTATTGGGGCACGCATGTATGCCTGTTGCTTCCTTGGTCGGGTTGTTGAAGAACCCGTCTAAGATTTCCTTGTGTAACCGGGTAGAAGCTGCGCTGGAATAATCGTGAGTTGACTATTACCCCAGCGTCAGTTTCGAACTCGGTGAACAGCTGTATGTTCATATACACCTTGTCTCATATGTAGGTTTGTGAACTATACTCATTGCATTGTGCCCGCTTGCTTTAGCGTGCTGCAGCCGTTCTTATGCCGTCATTGCGTTTCGTGCGCATTTATTGCAGCATCGCTTCAGTTGTCTAATCATTGCTCTCTTTTTTTGGGGAAGTGACAGTTTTGCCTTTGCCCCCTAGCCTCCTCTGTGTTGTGATTTCCGCGCATGATGATTGCGGTTTCTACCCACGATCGTGGCAGTTATGAGTTGAGGGTGAAAGGACCTAAATAACCCTGACCTTTGCTATTCGCACTTCAGTGGTCACTTGCTTGGCTATATAAGCCCTATTTCCCTCTTACATGCTTTTGTTTCGCCTTTGAGCATTGTGCACCAGCGTTAGTTGTTTGCTTTCGTGTACGTGTCTTCTAAGTGTTGTGCCTCATTTCGGCTTCAGTTCTTCATCTTCCTTCAACAGGTATTTCACATATTTTCAGCTTTTTGTTGATTCTGTTGTGCGATTCTGCATTTTAACGTTTGCTTGCTAGTATGCTTTTTAAATTTGAAGATGTATATTTTCCATCGTCGATTTTTTCCTCTTTCCCTCTTTCTCCAGAACCTGTAAAAAACTTCCATAGTTTGCCTCTTTCAGAAGTTGTATGTTCCCTCATGTCGTGTTGGTGGTCATCACCTTGCTTTTCTCCTCCTCCTCCTTTTGCTATTTGACATTTAGTGTTTTT